AGATGCTACTATAACATCTGATGACTGAATGAGCTTTTGCTGCACTAAATTAATTTGATTTAGAAACAAAATGTTATGACTATAACTTTTATTTCTTGAAGGAGGGAAGGTATAATACATATAAGGTGAGTCCCAGTTCCCTTATTTTATTATTCCTTGGTCCTCAATCCTCGCTTGACCCTGAAGCCATTCTGGTCCACCATGATGAAGGATATCCCCAATGTCTTACGCCTGCTCTGAGAAGGATGCCTAGAGGAGCTATGACTTACGATACACAACTGTACTGTATCTTTTGCAAAAGTCTGTTATGGATTGACACACCCCTTTATTGGAAATCAGATAGTGACTGGATGGTTCACATGAAGGATTGGAGGAAAGGACATCTCATGTCAATTAAAACATTTCCTTACAGTCTCTACTGGCATCTTTTCCTTGCACCTTACATTGGTGTGACTAAGATGCAAAGAAAAGACACAAGTGGGGGGAAACTTTGATGCATTTAGTCGAATTGGAGATCCACCTATAGTGTAGGATATCATGCTTAGTGTGGCCTTACTAAAGACCTGTGCTGACATACAGTATGTGAGCCCATGTGCTCCTCACTCCCTTCCTTCAGGAAATAAAAATTCTAGTCATTATTTCATTGCCTTCCAGTTGACTCACGCAGTAAAAGACGTATAATAAGGGACATGCTGTACTTGCCCCACAGAGCATCCGCTGATCACTGGGGCTTTGTATACCAAGCAGAAACATGCAACTGCTTTATCTATAAGGCAAACCAGAGCCTACCAAACTGAGAACAGCTGGCTGCTGCACAACTGTCACTCACTGATACACCTTTTAGCCACCCCCATAATGGTGCCCTTTCCCCTCGGCAGGTGTGCCCTCACATCGTGAGGCAATGGAAATCCTTTGCTGTTACAAGCCAGGGAAAGCCACTGCTCCAACAGGGCTTTGCTCCTCACTGCACTGGCAACACAGTCAAACAAATGGTCACATCAACACACAACTGATTGCACTTTATATACAATTGTAACACTTGTACAACACACAAGGTATACAGTCTGGCTGCTGTCACAGTTCCTGTCTCGGCCCTGTGTGTTCTGGTTCATTCTATGTTAATTCACTACATTATTTCCACAGGCATCTGTTATTTTTCTGGATCTGTCATTTCCCATCCAGTCATCAGATGTTACCAAACTTTTCTCACCACCTCTAATTCCCTTGTTACTCAGTCCTGACTCTCACTCTCACCATCTGCTGCCATTTTCCCTCATCAGCTCCCATGTATATCCTTTGTCCTCTGCCAGATCATCTAGCATGTTTTGATGCTTTAGCATCCCAGCCATTCCTGATTTCCCCCAGTGTTTAGTCCGTTCTTGATTTTATGTACCTGGATTAGACAGCTTGTTTTTGGACTTTGTTTTGGTATTGTATACCCTGTTCTTTGTCGACCCCTTCTTGGTTTCACCTCCTGTTTTTACCTGTTTGGTTCTGTTAACCTTTACTTTAAGTAAGACTGTCCTCTGCTTTATTATTAAAACAGTGTTGCACTACTAAGGTGATCTGTCTTCTCATCCAACACTTCTCACTGCATCACTGGCCCTGTGTTAACCTGCATGACAAATAAGCTGAAACCTGATATTGGAACTTAATCTTCCTGTCTTCCTGTGTATCTGCACTTGAGTCCCATTCTCCTGTTGCTTCCAGTAAAAAAACATGACATGGCTGCTGTCCTCTGGTGAGCCAATAAACAATTATGCTAGTTTTGATTGGTTAATTAACATTTTTTAAAACTTATTTGGTTTATTTGGCCTGCTGTGATCTGAATATAAAAGCACTGTAACTGAAAGCACCACTGGGAAACAAACACGCATTTTAGCCACTTTGTGTGATCACGTGATCACCTTTTAACACTTCACCAGATACACTGCCTTGTAAGTTTGTAGCACGAGGACAGAACAAAGGGCCAGAACAGAGCTTTTCTGCTCCTGTATTTTCTCTAACTGTGCTGCCAAAAATCTGTCTAACTCCCAACTCCAGTCGCCTGACCCCATACAGTGTCCCATATGGTCAACCCAGCAAAATGCAAAAAATTTGGAGAGATGCTCTAAGCCATCTGACCTAGATCAGCAGAGTGAGGTATATGCAGAGTGGGCCTCACATATGTCACCACACAGTTGTACTGAGTAAGTCAACTGAAGGACTGTGGTATTTACCACTATAATACAGTGGTATTACACTTACATTAGGTCTTTCAAGGTTTCCAGTGTTTGATGATGCTGCAACTTAAAATGATTCCATCATTTAAATAAAATCATGGGGCTGCCTGAGGAAAAGCTGCTATTATGACAGATGGGAACAAGTGGCCAATGAGTCAATCTGTTGAAGAGGATGATTGGCCTGACAGAAAGAAACAAATAGCAGAAACAGGGAATGAGGTTTGGGGTAAAAAATAATAAAGGACAAGTGGAAGTAGGTGAAAAGACAAGGAGGGGAGGGGAGGAGAGACATGGGGATGGAGAGGAGGACAGAGAAGCATAAACAGGGTAGGCAGAGTGGCAAAGAGGAGAAAGGAGGTCAGGTGAGCTGAGAGAAAAGTGATAGAGGAGGTGAGCTAAGTGTTGGGTCATAAATGAATAAAGTGAAGGACTTTCACAGTCATATACAGTCATATACAGTTTTGAGTCAATACTAATCTAGACCCTGCTTTGATCTCCATGTTGTTACTGTACATTGCCGCATTCACATCATGCCCTGAATATACAGTAAATCATACCACTTAGCAATGCCAGCCAAACTAAACGGCAACTTCTGTCTCATTGTTGAGATGTTAATAAACAAACAACCAAATTCCATTTAGATGAAACAATAGTGTTCAGAAGGATGGTTTAAGATGTTTGTTTGTTGGTTTTTCATTTCAAAGCAGGTTATACTGTTGATTAGTACTACATGTAATACCAACATTAATAAACTAGAAGTACAACCTCACAGCTGTATACCAACCAAGCAGATTGCAGTTTGCATGCATGTCTGTCCAGACTCATAATATATGTAGTGAAGACTTTGAAGGAATTTAATAAATGATATTA